TATTAGCATGTATTAACTGTACAGGGGGTTTCATTGTGACATTTACATATGTGCTTGCAATATATCTTTTTTTTTATTCATATGTGCATACAATGCTTTGGTCATTTCTCCCCCCACCCCCCTCTCCCCCCACCCCTCAATACCCAGCAGAAACTATTTTGCCCTTATCTCTAATTTTGTGGAAGAGAGAGTATAAGGAATAATAGGAAGGAACAAGGGTTTTTGCTGGTTGAGATAAGGTTAGCTACACAGGGAGTTGACTCACATTGATTTCCTGTGCATGTGTGTTACCTTCTAGGTTAATTCTTTTTGATCTAACCTTTTCTCTGGTTCCTGGTCCCCTTCTCCTATTGGCCTCAGTTGCTTTAAAGTATCTGCTTTAGTTTCTCTGAGTTCAGGGCAACAAATGCTAGCTAATTTTTTAGGTGTCTTACCTATCCTCATATCTCCCTGTGTGCTCTCGCTTTTATCTTTTGCTCAAAGTCCAATCCCCTTGTTGTCCCACAACTATTTTAGAAGAGTTACCCACAGGTACATTGGGATACTGAATTCAGCATTAGAGAAGCCTAATGACAACTGAATTTCCTTCTTATTATAGGTCACTCCTCATGACTTTAATAATTTTGTTAGGTGGTGTTTGGAATTGGCTTATTTCCCTTGCACCTTGGTGTGTCTTTCCATTCGATTTATTTGTGTTACTGGGCATTGGCACACCTGTAGTTTCCACACTCAGGAGGTTGAAATGAGAGAATCCCTTGAACCCAGAAATTCGAGACCAGCCTGGGTTACATAAGAGACCCTATGTTTAAATAACTAACTAAATAAATAATGCTTCATGTCAGGAGATTCTTCTCAGATACTAAAATATCTTTAGAGCCTCTGCTTATTTGAATTCTGGATTTCCTGTAACTTTCCTTGTTTCTTCCAGTTATTTTTATCCCTTTCTTTGTTAAATTTTGTTCTGTTCACTAATTTCTGTATTAGTTTTCCTTAGTTTACTTTCTGTGGTATTTGTGATACTCCATGCTCCTTGTGGTTTATTTTTTAATTTTTTATTTTTTTTGGAATGTTGAGTGATAAGTTTCATCTTCTCTTAGTTTTTTGGTGAGTTCTCTTTGTACATAAGGGTATTTTGCCACACTTTTCAAACTTTTATATAAATATTTTTAGACACAGTGTTTCTAACTTTATGTTTTAGAATGCAGAGATTTTCCTGGAATAGCTGTCACTGGTACTTTACTGTGAAAAACTTGAATGGGGGCACGACTAGTTTTTCTGGTCAAATTTGGGAAACAATTTCTTTGCAGCCAAGCCTTCCTTGCCATTTAGAACCCAAAGTAGTTCAGAAAGACTCTGGCTATTATCGTCTTGACTTCTTCTAGTGTCTTTTCTGCAATTCATGAATACAGCCAAGTGCTCAGCTCATTTTATGAGGCAATATTATAGATAACGAAACCAGTAAAAGCATATGGGTGTCAGTATCCCTCCAAAAGTGCTAGCAACCCAACTCTAGTGACATATAAAATGAATTCTGCAACAAAACCAGGTGGATTTCTCCTAGAAGTGCAAGATTTGTCTCAACATCCCAAATCAACTAATGTAATGCATCATATCAGTAGAATAAAAAACAACTCACAAAAGGTCATCTCAACAGATGGAGAAAAGGCATTTGACAACAGCCAGTATTCTTTCATCATGATAAAAACAAAACAACAACACAAAAATTCTTCAAGCTAGGAGTAAAAGAGATTTTCCTCAATACAATATCAGGCATCTGCTAAACCCCACACCTTACATGATACTTAACAGTGAGAGACTAGGTATTTTTCTCTCCAGGATCAGAAACAAGACAAGGATATCTACATGTGGCACATCTGTTGAACAGTGTACTGCATTGCAGGTTCTACTGGGGCATTTGAGCAAGGAAAAGAAATTCAGGTTGGAACAGAAGTAAAAACATCTCTATTTGCAGATGACATGATCTTCTATAAGAAATCCTAATGCATCCATCAAAGAAAACACAAACAAACAAAATCACCCGATAGAACTGCATTAAGCAAAATTTGGAGATATAAGATCAATATGTAAAAATGAGTTATGTATTTGTACACTGAGGAAAATGAATTACGAGAGCAATTCCAGTCACAATAGCATCAAAAAGAACAAAATAGCTGAGTGCTGGTGGCTCACGCTTATAATCCTAGCTACTCAGGAGGATTGTGGAAACAGTTCACAAGACCCTATCTTGAAAAAACACGTCATAAAAAAAGGACTGGTGGAGTGGCTCAAGGTGTAGGCCCTGAGTTCAAACCCCAGTACTGAAAAAAAAACCAAAAACAAAACCTTAGCAATAAATTTAACGTAAGAACTTAAAACTTATTCTCTGAAAATTACAAAATAGGTATTAAAAAAAAAACCTTTAACATGAATGTTCATAGCAACATTCTTTATATAAAGTTGTGAAAACAACTCAAATGTCAGTTGATGGAGGAATGGATCACCAGTGTGGTGGGTCTGTGTACAGGAATATTATTCAGTGACAGACAGGAAAGGATGCTATTACATGCTGCAACCTGGATGAACCTTGAAAACCTGATAAGCAAAGGAAGCTAGCCACACGTCTACACATTAATATTCCATCCATATGAAAGTGCAAAGTAGGGGGCTGTAGAGAGCAGAAGGTAGACAGTGGTTATATAAGGGTAGGGTTAGTGGAATGGTGGGAACACAGAGAGTGATAGATAAAGGGTACTGCGTTTCTGGGGTGATGAAAGTGTTCTAAAACTGATTTGGGATGGTTGTACATTTCTATAAATATACTAAGAACCATTGAAATTTTTACTTTAAATAGATTAGTTATATGATATGTGAGTTATATCTCAATAAAGCTGTTCAAAAAAAACAATATAGCCAATGTGTATTGAATTTTTACCTTGAATTTCTTGACATCTCCATATTGCCTTTAACCACCTCCTTTTCATATCATTCCTGCTCGAAGAACTTCCATTCTGAGTATGGCTAACTCCTGGCAATGAGTATTTCTCTTTTCCTCTCCTCTCCTCTCCTCTGCTTTCCTATCCCCTCCCCTCCCCTCCCCTTTTATCCCCTCCCCTCTTTTCCCGTCCCCTCCCCTCCCCTCTCCTTTTCCCTCTCTCGCCTCATCTCTGTCCTCCATCTCTCTCTTTAACATCATCACTGTGGCATCCACATGGGTTCTGTTTATTTTCCTGGTTTTTTTTTTTTTCTCATGGCTTCCAGGAGGAATGTCAGGATTAGAACTTGTTCTTCCTTCTGATGATTTAATAGTTACTCAAGTCCTTTTTGTTTCCAGAAGCAAAGTTTATTTAGTCCACAGCTGGTTCTCTACTTCTCACTCTTTACAAAGTGAAGTCCTGTTATGACACTGTCCTCTGTGTGCCAGGCACAGTTCACACAACATACCCTGCATGAACCCCTCACATTGTGATATTTGTGTCTTTCCTCTCCCTCTTATCCCAACTTTGCTCTATCTCTAGTTAATTTAAACCTTACTTTAAAAACGTACAATGGCAGCCAGGTGCCAGCAGCTCATGCCTGTAATACTAGTTGCTTGAATGACAGATTGGGAGGATCAAGGTTTGAGGCCAGCCCAGGCAGGGAGTTCATGAGACCTCATCTCAAGCAATAGCTTGGTGTGTGCATACACCATGAAGGACTTATGGTATGTGCACCTGTCATCCCAAACTACAGGGAACTCTGAGATCAGGAGGATCCTGGTTCCAGGCCAGCCCAGGCAAAAACTTAACAAGACCCCATTTCAATGGAAAAAAGCTGAGTGTGGTGGCAATGTCTGCCATTTCAGCAATGGGGAAGAAGCTTAAAATAGGACAATCACAATTCAGGCTGGCCTGGGCAAAAAGTTAGACTCTAATAATCAAAGCAAAAAGGGCTAGAGGCATGGCTTCAGTAGTAGAGCAACTGCCTTGCAACACAAAGCCCTGAGTTCAAATTCCAGCCCCCTTCCCCCCCAGCACACCAAAAAAACAGATGCAATGGTTTCTTATTGCTTCTGAGATGAGGTCCAAACTCCAAAGCCTTTTTTTTTTTTTTAAAAGACACTGGAGTTTGAACTCAGGGCCTTCACCTTGAGTCACTCCATTAGCCCTGTTTTTGTGATGGGTTTTTTCGAGATAGGGTCTCCCGAATTATTTGTCCAGGGCTAGCTTCAAACCACAATCCTGATTTCTGCTTCCTGAGTTTCTAGGATTACAAGCGTGAGCCACTGGCATCCACCTCTATTTTTTAGGACTGTTGCTAGAGCTTGGAGGATAATGGGAGATGATAGTCCAGTTGGATCAAAGACTATGTGCACAATTCTGTTTGTGGCCCAGTAAACATTACTAGGGCTATGTATATCAGTCGTCTCACTGAATTTCTGGTGAATCTAGTCAGCATTATTTTGGCTTCAAAATTGCCTTTAGTTGTTTGGTGGCCCTTGCATGCTCTGGATGTAAATGACTCAGTAGGTGTCAAGAATTTTGTTGGACATGAAATCAGTGAAAGGCACTGTCCCTAGAGACGTACACAGGAGAATCCTGGACAGGTATATTTGTTTCTGAGATTGTAGAGTCCCATTGGCCTTGAGGTGACCTTGGGGATATGAAATGCAGGCTCTGGATAGTTGTAGAGGATATTTATGACAAATTAGAATGGTCTTATCTCTCTTATCCTGATTTATGCCATGATTTTGGCATGAATAGTAGCATTGAAATCCTTCTGCTTTAGTTTATTCTCTGATTTTGGTTGGGGCCAGGATTTCCTTGGATTCCTAATGACCTTCTTCCGAGGAAGAAAATGGTCTCCTCATTTGTTCAATCTCTGGGGCTGGGGGCGGGGCTCAAGTGGTAAAGGAATTGCCTAGCAAGAGCAAGGCCCTGAGTTCAAGTCCCAGTACCACCCCCCGAAAAATGTTCTGAGGAAATCTTGACTTTTCATGATTCTTTCTCTCTTTTCTTTCCCAGGACTCTGCTTCAGCAAGAGGAGAATCCAGAAGAGGACCTGTGAACTCCTGGAATTTAAATCATGGCCCACGTGAGTTAGGATTTTCTCCAAAAACACAATTATTTGTATGACTGCATATGAATAATTTTATTGCTTATCTTGAAACTACTTACCTAAATCACTAGTTGTTACTAACTGTAAAAAACCAGGCACTGGTGGCCCACGCGTGTAATCCTAGCTACTCAAGACGCAGAGATCAGGAGGATCGAGGTTCAAAGCCAGCCTGGGCAAATAGTTCTAGACCCTATCTCGAAAATACCCGATACAAAAAATGGCTGGCAGAGTGGCTCAAGTGGTAGAGTACCTGCTTAGCAAGCATGAGGTCCTGAGTTCAAACTCCAGTTCTGTCAAAAATAAAAAATAAATTTGGATTTAGTGATTCTAGACAGGTGTAGCCTCTCCATGATGTCAACCAAAAACTCCAAGGACGTCTGTTATTCTGGGCTGCCACCCTAGTGTCTTGGTGTCTGTGATGTGAAGGCTTAAGTGTGTTGTGACTGAGTTTTTAACAGCCCCTGAGTACTCAGCTTTAGTCCCCTTTTTCCATGTCGTTTCCTCCAGTTCCATAGATAGCCACCCTGTAGGGCTTTGCTCATTGTGTGTCCCATTCTCTGCTGCTCCCTTTTCCTCCACCATGTAAATGGATTCTTAAAATTTCACCATTAACATTTGAGTTTGTCCTTTTAGCAATTGATGACGTTCAGAGATGTGGCTATAGAATTCACTCAGGAGGAATGGGAGTGCCTGAACCCAGAACAGAGGAATTTGTATGCAGACGTGATGGCAGAGAACTACAGCCACCTCATCTCAGTGGGTAAGATTCAGAATTTGACCCTAAAATCACTGCATCTATTTTGTCAATTTTGGGATTGTTTTTCAAATATCTCTGGAAATTTCTGAGCTGTGTTCCCAGGAAAATGGTTTTGTGTTTTGTGAAGTTAGCAGTAGTCATCATCATTGGGAACCTCACCTTCCCCATCCTTCAGAAATCCTTTATTCTTTTTGCTTGCCTTTTGAAAGCTGTCATTGTCTTCCTTAATAAGCAAGGGACCAAATGCAAATTTGAGAACTCTTACCATTTTCTATATTTTCTCTTTTGTTTAGGACTTTGCATGTATCAACCACATGTTTTCTCATTGGGAAAAGAAGAAGAGCCTGGGATGAATTTGAATGATGAGACAAGAGGACTTTGCCCAGGTGAGTGAGGGTTGAGCAGGTATGGGGTGTCCATAATTATAAATAATAGTTCATTTGCTTAGTGAGGCAGTGGTACCTTGAATTATCAGTATGAAGTATCCTTTCATTGGCCAAAGGACTTTTATAAAGGCCTGAGATGTATATGCAAAGCCTTTCCAAAGAAAATTTCTCTTCACTCCAGATATCACTTTATTTCTGTGCTCTTGTGTATCCTTCATATTACAAAATCTTAAGTGCCATTCTTTTTCTCCAGTAAGAAAAGTATTTTATGTATAGTTTGGGTCAAGGTTCTTCCCATCTGTTGGATGAACTTTCTGGGGGAGGTATAAAGACTTGTGTGTCACCAAACTGGTATGACACTGACAGCCCACAAAATGACTCATACAAATCCAGTTTGAATGGTTAAAAATGAAGTTTCTTTAAATGTTTTTATTAGCATATGATAGGTTTACTTTTTTGTGACATTTTCATGTGTACATATATTGTACCTCAATTTGGCTCATCCCCTCCACTAATCTTCATCTTTCCCTACTCCCCTGTCTTTTTTTGTTTGTTTGTTTGTTTTTGGTAGCACTGGGTTTGATCTCAGGGCTTTATGCCTGCTAGGCAGGTACTCTACTACTTGAGCCACTCCACCAGCCCTGGTTTTGTGTTGGGAATTTTCAAGATAGCTTCTCTTGAGCTACTTGTCTTGGGTGGCTTCAAACCATGATCCTCCTGATCTCTTCCTCCTGATTACAGGATTACAGGGTCAGCCACCAGTGCCTGCCAATTGTTTTTTGTTTTGGGTTTTTTGTTTTTGTTTTTGTTTTTCCATGCTTGCAAAGCAGGTACTGTAGCACTTGAGCCACACCTCCAGTCCCAGTGCCCTTCTTGAAATGACTTTGACAGGCTTCAGTGTTCTGTATTTATACATGTATAGAAAGTACCTCAGCCATATTCACCCTCCTTTTCCCTCTTCATTTACCTTCCAATTCTTACCCTCCCTTTAACATGACCTGTATTATATTCCTGTCCTTCAGTGTTTTAGTGTATGTTCATTGTTCAGTGGGGTTTTGCCTTGGCATTTTACCTGTAAATATATTGTACTTCAGTCAGTCAAAGTCTCTCTATTAGTCTTCCTTATCTTTTCTCCCCTACCCCTGTATTGTTCAACAGTTTTCAGTGTTCTGTTGTCTTGTTCTACACAGATGTGATGTATTTCAATATTATTCATTCCTTGTCATTCTTTTCCTCCTCCCTTAGTCTCCTCTAAGAGTTCCACTTTTAGGAACATGTTCCGTATATATTTATACATACACGTGCATGCACCCCCCCACAATGTTTGTATTTGTATTTGTATCTGTCTTCCACATACAAGAAAAAGTGTGTGACCTGTGTTTCTGAACCAAGCTTTCTTCACTTAAGATGATGTTCTCCAGTTCCATCCACTTTACCTTTGAATGACAAAATTTCATTCTTCTTTATGGGTGGATAATATTCTATTGAGTATATGTACCACATTTTCTTGCTCCATTTATCGGTTGTAGAGTATTTGGACTGTTTCCATAGCTTGGCTATTGTGAATAATGCTTCAATAAACATGGGTGTGTAAGTGTCATTGTTGTATCCTGACTTACATTCCGTTGGATGTATGCCTAGTAGTGGAATTGCTGGATCATATGGTAGTTCTATTTTTAGTTTTTTGAGGAGATTCTATACTGCTTTCCATAGTGGTTGTACTAATTTACATTCCCACCAACAATATATAAGGGTTTCTTTTTCCCTGCATCACCAACATATATTGTTGTTTGTGTTCTTGATGATAAAAATAAAAAACGAATTTTAATAGAATTTACTTAGAGCATAGTGGACGACCATGGAGGACTGTATTTGCTGGAACTTGCCCAAGTCACCAAGGTCACCATTGCCCCATCTGCCAGGTAGGGAATTTATGGATACAGCTAGGCAGGAAAGTACATGCAAGTGTGCAACTGCTGCTCCACTTGTGTGGCAAACACAGGCACACATGCTTTCCTCATAACCACTTGGAACCTGTTCTCTGCGTCTGTAGGACACAGGTTTATTTTTTAAACCCATATATTTTGTTCACAGTTCTCATGTGGTAACCACCCCATTTTTGGTGAAAGTTGTCGGTTTCATTGTGTCTTTTAAGACAAAAGGGGCATGTTCATGCTTAGTTGTTATCCAAGTTACTTTGCCCCATACTGTCGTATGTATGGGCTGGATTTTATTTATGGGTTTTGATTACTGTTAAGGTCTCATCCTAAGACTGGGACCACCAGAGCGTGTGCTCCCCCTCACTTACGTTATTTAAAGGAAGACCCCACCTTGGTGCCATGGTCCTCAGAAAGATGCTCCAGTTTTGGGGTGAAATGGGCAGCGGATTTTAGGTCACAGCTCCTTAGCTGAATAAGGGAAGTTCACTACTTACTGAACCGTTGGGCTTGTGAGTTGCTGCCGTAGTCACTGTTCACTGCTAGAAGAGGTTCCCTTTGACTATGCTTGGTAGAAGCAGTGATCTGTGGTCACTTGGAACACAGACCCAAGTGACCACAGATCACTTTATTAAGTGATCACTTTATAAAAAATCTTTAAAAAAATAAAGATCACTTTATTTTTTTAAGTGGCACTTTATTAGCACGTCATATCTATTTAGCACAACAGTGGCAGTGGCTTTTCCGCTGGGCCTGTGACTTTCCCAGCCACAGGTTTTTATCCTGGCTTATAGTACCAAACACAGATACCCCCACTGAATAAGCTTAAGATCCAGTTGAGGATGGATTAGCTGAGTGGTTGGTTGTGCCACTGCTATAGCGGCAGGCGCATCCGGCAGAGCAGGCTGATAATGTGACACGTGGACCCCATTGCTGAGCAGGACTGTTGGTGACAATTCTCCCCTGGCAGACTGCATAGCACTCTCTGGCAGTATGAATGCTAGCAAGGAAGAAAGAAGCTTTTAATTTAATTCCAACTTGATATTTTTTATGTCCTATAATCAGAGTGTATGGTGTCTTTAGCAAAAGGGACTTACCTCCAGTTTTGATATACAACCAACTACAGTGGCAATAGCCCATGTGATGTTAAGGGGCCTTGGGCAATTTCCTGGCCAATAACTTATAATGAGTAGCCCATGTGGCTGGGGTTTTAGCAACCTTATAACTCTGGAATTACTCTTTTTTACCCATGCAAAATGCTGTTATTTAAACTCTTTAGCTGCTGCTTTAACAATTCATTTTTTTTAAAAAATTTAATGAATCCCTGTGGGATTGTAAGGCATGTGATTAAAAATCTGCCAATACCCCACAATTTCCAGAAACATATGTAACTACTTTATATTTAATGGTATCAATTGTTTTAAAGTTTTAGATGGCCTAGTTAGGTATTATTTGTGTTTTATTTGACCATAAAACTCCCCCAAATTTTATGGTTATGTCAGACCTGTGTACTTTGTGTGGATTAAATCTCTCATCCTTAACCTTTTTGGTGGTACTAGGGTTTGAACTTACGCTTGCTAGGCAGGCACTCTACCACTGAGCCCCTCCACCAACTTTAGGTCTTGTATATCTTCTGGATTTTTTTTTTTTTTAATTTGTAAGACACTCAGGTCAGCATGACATTATCTATATAATGAAACATTTTTACAGTGGGTGGCAGGATAACCAAGTGAGGTTCTGAGCCACCAGTGTCCAACCATTAAAAGGAGGACTTGTTTTGCTATAGTCTGCCATATACAGCAGTAAATGGCAGCTTGCTGCAAGACAGTGTTACTCTGGCTAGGATTTTGAGGACCAACCTTACTACACTATCTGTCTTTCTCCCTTTTTCTTCATTTAGATATTTTTAAAGTTTTTTATTTCCTAATTTTTTTGTACTTGTTTTCATTTTACCTACTTCATGATTTTTTCTTTCTTTTTTTACTTACCTTCTCCTTGCTTTTGTTTTTTTGTGCAGTCATTAATTCATTCTTTTAACCATCAGATACTGATTTTCTAATTTTATTTTAGGTTCAGTAGCTTTAACAAAGTGTATGTTACGTATTAAGAAACTGATATTCTTCTCAGTGACTGAAACATGGCCACACATTACTGCACAGTAAACTCTTTATTAAGAGAAGATCAAATATGCTGCATAAGTGAAGTCAAAATAATAGTTGAAAAAGGTTTCTGACCACAGTGAAGAAGTTAGGGCTGAAGGAAGACAACCAGGAGAGAGCAGTGTCTTAAAGGCAAGTCCTGTTTTGACTAGTTACTGTCACGTCCATTTTCTTCTCTGATAATGATGGTGATTTACTAACTTCTTGGCACTTACTCTGTGCCAAGTGCTTTATAGAAACAGTATTTTGTTCCCAATCTTGTCAAAAGCCTCTGATAGGAGATATTTTACCCTTATTTGTAGTGTGGAAAAATAAAAGCTCTGTCAAGTTCAATTTTTTTTTTATCACCAAAAGATAGTTTTTTAGTAAAGAGAACTACAGTTAGAAACTGCCATCTTTCTACCACTATTCGTTACTGCTCATACTCTTGACTACTGCCTTTCAACTCAGCCACTACCAATCACTACAGAGTCCTTGGTCAGTTTCCAAGAAACTCTCTATTCCCACGAGAAAAGTAGGACATTCTCATGGGATCCTAAATATCTAGGAAAAGTGAGCTGCAGAAGAGTTCTTCATTCTCCTTTGACAGATTTGTCAAACTATTTTCCTATCTAAACTGTCACTCATAACTGTCTCCTTTAATGTAAATGTAACATGCCCTGTGTGACTCAGTTCCTGGTACTTTGGCAACTCTGGAATATATTGTGTCCACATGTTAGACCGATAGTCTACTATTTCCCAACATTCCCGTTTTTCAGCTTGGAATTATATAAGATACTCATCATAGTACCTTATATAGTACTTGACATTTTATAGATATTTCCTAAATCCTTCCATTGGCTCAGATAGAAGGAAAAAAGATCTTAGAAAGGGGTTAAAAGCGTAAAACAGTCTGTTTCTATAAAATTGATGACCTGTTCTCTACATCAGGATTTAATAAGTAGACAGAACACCTTATTTTAGACTAGGTGCCAAAACCTGACTTGATTATGCATAGTGGAGGAAATGAAGAAGGTGAAATATTTACATGTGCAAAGGCAAATGGAAGAATGCATAGGTTTAACCACATTTCTTTACATTTATCTGTGAACTAAGCTAGCTTTTGTCTTCTATTTCTACAGAAAATCATGAGGAAGCAGTATGCGTAGTTGTTTCAGTAGAGAAGGAAGGGATTAGACAGTGAGATGTTACATTGTTTTTGCATGTTTAGATTATCCCATTTGTGGTTTCTGGTCTTTAGTTTTTACAGTATCATCTTTTACTGCATCCTAAGTATTTACTCACCCTCCCTTTTTGCCTTGTAGTGTATTTATTCCAGAATTATTTTTTAAAAACCTAACATGTGCTAAGAATTGATTATACCACACTGAGTGAAACAATGTAGTCTTTAGTTTGTCATTCTGTTTTTGAGGTGGTGTCTGGACAATCAGTTTTTATTGAATTCTAATGAATATGATCAGAACAAAACTTTATCCCTTCTCCTGACCTCTTAAATTTCTATTTATTTTTGCCCCTCCCTTTTTTTTGCGCTCCGTGAATTTGGAATTTTTAAGCCATTCACTTGTGTGCTTTACATTATGATTTGCTTTCTATGTCTACATTGAAATTGTATTTCTTTTTGGAAAGTAAAACAGTACGTATTTATCTTCTTGTCTTTCAGACATACCCATGTGGCAGACCAAGAAGTTATTACAAAAAAAAAGCTCATTTGAAAGAGAATTATCCCAGTGGGAAGTCCTGGAAGTTTGTACAAATGACAGTCTTGATGGTTTGTGTTTTAGAGGTAGTCGAGAAGGAAAAGGTCAGTTTCAAACACAACAAGAAAATCAGGATTATTTCAAGCAAGTCGCAGTCACAGCTTTTAATCAACACGATAGACTCAACATAGGAGAGAAATTGAATGAATACAGATGTGAAAAAGCGTTTACTTTTGGGGCAGACCATACTGAACACCGGTTAATTCACACCGGTGAGAAATTCTGGGAAGATAAGGAATGTGGAAAGTCCTTTCTTCTTGATTCAGAGCTTACTCCATGTCAGGCAGTTCACACCAGTAAGAAAGCATATGAGTGTAAAGAATGTGGCAAGACTTTCAGTTTTCGTTCAGGTCTTATTGGTCATATGAGAATTCACACTGGGGAGAAACCTTTTAAATGTAAGGAGTGTGGGAAGGCCTTTAGGTTTAATTCACTACTTAATGTCCATAAGCGAATTCATACTGGGGAAAAGTCTTATGAATGTAAGGAATGTGGGAAGACCTTTAATTATAGCTCAGATCTTACTCGACATCACAGAATTCATACTGGTGAAAAGCCCTATAAATGTAGGGTTTGTGGAAAGGCCTTTAATTGTGGCTCAGACCTTACTCGACATCAGAGAGTTCATACTGGTGAGAAGCCCTATGAGTGTAGGGTTTGTGGAAAGGCCTTTAGTTGTGGCTCAGACTTTACTCGACATCAGAGAGTTCATACTGGTGAGAGGCCCTATGAGTGTAGTGAATGTGGAAAGGCCTTTAGTCAGCAGTCACATCTTATTAAACATCGGAGGATTCACACTGGTGAAAAACCTTACATATGTAAGGAATGTGGGAAGGCTTTTACGTGTGGGTCACAGCTAGCTCAACACCAGAGCGTTCATACTGGTGATAAAGTACGTAAATGTAAGGAATGTAAAAAGGCCTTTCGTTCTGGTTCACACCATCGTCAGCATCAGTTAATTTATGCTGGTGAGAAATTCTTTGAAGATAAAGAAAATGGGAAGCCCTTTTTGCCTCATTCAGAACTTACTCAATACCAGAAGGTCAAAACTAGTAAGAAAACATATGAATGTAGAGAATGTGGCAAGGCATTTAGTTTGCGTTCGCGTGTTACTAGTCTCAAGAGAATTCATCCTAGGGAGAAATCCTTTAAATGTAAGGAGTGTGGGAAGGCTTTTAGTTGTAGCTCAGATCGCACTCGACATGAGAGAATTCACACTGGTGAAAGGCCCTATGAATGTAAGGAATGTGGGAAGGCCTTTAGGTGTACATCGGACCTTAGTCGCCACCATAGAATTCACACTGGCGTAAAACCTTACGAGTGTAAAGAGTGCGGAAAGGCTTTTACTCGTGGCGCACACCTGACTCAACATCAGAAAATTCACACCTGTGAGAAATCACATAAATGTAAAGAATGTGAAAAGGCCTTTAGTTCTGGCTTAGACCACACTCATCATCAGTTAATTAACACTGATGAGAAATTCTGTGAAGATAAAGAATGTAGGAAGACCTTTATACCTGACCCAGAACTTAGTCAGTGTCCGTCAGCTCACAGTGGTAAGAAAAGAGGCAAATGTAAAGAATGTGGCAAAGACATTAGTTGGGGTTCAAGTGTTCCTGTTCTTAAGAAACTTCATACCAGAGAGAAACCTTTTAAATGTAAGGAATGTGGGAAGGCCTTTAGTTATAACTCAGAACTTAACCGGCATCAGAGATTTCACACTGGCGAAAAGCCCTATGAATGTAAGGAGTGTGGAAAGGCCTTTACTTCTGGCTCAGACCTTATTCGGCATCGGAGAGTTCACACTGGTGAAAGACCCTATGAGTGCAGTGAATGTGGAAAGGCCTTCATTCAGCAGTCACATCTTGTTAAACATCAGAGGATCCATACTAGTGAAAAGCCGAAGAACAAAATGATCGTAGAAAGACCTTTAGTCAGTGATCCCATCTTACTAAATATGAGAGAATTCACACTGGTGGAAAACCTTATGAATATAAGGAGTGTGGAAAAGCTTTTACTCGTGGCTCACACCTGACTCAACATCAGAACATTCACACTGGTGAGAAAGCACGTTGTTGTAAAGAATTGGAAAAGCATATATTCTTGATGTACATCTTACGCAAATCAGAATGTTCATGTTGGTAGGAAACCCTGTGAGTGTGAGAGATGAAATTCTCATCAGCAGTCCACACTTGCTCAACATCAGTGTATTCGTGCTGCTAGGAAACTCCTGAATAAGCAAGGTGGGAAAACTTTTGGAGGGTTCATATCTTGCACAATGTGAGAAAATTCATGAGGAAATTCCAAATATAAAGAATGTGGAAAGAGCTTTCTTCATAGCTCAGAGTTTAATCAACATCAGAATCAACATCAGAAAATTCATAGTGATGAGAAATTATGAATGCAAGGAATGTACAGACTTTTTTTCATGGTTCAGAAATTAATACCAGAAAATGCAAACTGGAAAGAGACCTTAAAAATATGAAGATTGTGGAAAGGCTTTTCTCTGAGTTCATAACTTAATTGATGTCAGCAAATGCATACTGGTGAGGAACTTTATGTATATATATGAAGAATGTGGGAAATCTTTTATCTGCACTCACAGCTTACATTATATCAGAAAATTTATCTGATGTACAACCCTACTCACCATATTTGACTAAGCAGAAAATTCACAATGTGATAATCTCTATGAATGGATACACTATAGGAACCTCTCTAATCTTGATTCAAACTTTGCTGAACACCAGAGTATGTTTTTTTTTAATGGATCTTAGGACCTTGTGAATGCTACACAAGTGTTCTACCTCTGAGCTGTGACTATAAAGATTGAGACATCTTATCCAAAGTCTCACTTAAGTTTACTATTGTGAAACTTAAAATCTTATAAGGAGTTTTTATATCATAGGATATAAAAACATAAATAAGGCTTAATGTAATCTATTGACTTAGGAAAGAATTTACTGATTGGCCATCAGTCATGGAACATCAGAATGCCTTATGATAAAGAAGTTAGGATATAGCTATATTTGAGAGGGTATTTTAAAAATGATAATGTAAATATGTAAAGTTTATAAAACATGATTTTTATATGTAGATGCCTTATTTTCTAGGAAAACAAATATGTTCATTTCACATACTACCAAAAAGTAAAAAAAAAAAAAAACCCAGAAAAAATTTAAACCACAATGAAAAATCATTCAAGATGTACAGTTACACAAGCTACACTCTGAAGGAAAAGAAAATCCTCTGGGAAATTTCCCAGCTTTTGATAATATAATTCTTATAATAAAATTAGACGATTGATCAACGCATTCCAGAAAGTTTTCACTCCTGAAGATACATGAAACTACACAATAAACAAATCCACTATTTAATGAAAGAATAATTATAGATACTTACTTGGAATATTTAACCTTTAATCTTAACAGATGAGAATTTTGTATGATAAAAATGTACTTTTAGTTCAGCACTTAATTTTCCCATGAATGCGGTTCCTGATACTTTTAAGTATTACCTGAATGCTGAGTATATGTACACATATTTAGCAAATTATAAATTACTTTAATAAGCAGTTCTTTCTCAAATTATTGTAATTATGGAATTTTACAGGTTGGGAAATATTCTATGACTTTATTATAATAAACAGGCCATTTTCATTCATGTTGACTACATTTCTTTTTTAAGGTGACAAGTACACTTAGAAAAATGACATTTAGAGGTTATTTGATGACCCTTTGTGTCCTGGTCTGGACATCCATTTTCAGATGAGCATAGTTTATTCCTTCATCCTTTTGCCCAGACTGCCTCATTGAGTTTTGTGTCTGTGTATCACCAGATGTGTATCTACATCTATTTCATGGTGAATTTCTGGATTTCCTGAGTGCATGAAGTACATGCTTCTTGAGCTCTTACTCCATTTATGGATACTTGAGTGTTGACATATAATTTTAATTTGACAAAAAAAAACCCAAATCATTATTGGCTTAAGAAGATGGTCACTGATTCTAGTTACCATAAGTTCTAAGCAAACCATATTCAATAAAAGAGGCTTTGTGAAATGGTAGCACTGTGAAGCATTTTCACCTCTTAGTGAAGATGAATGTTCACACCATGGATGGTGACAGGCCATATACATAATAGAGTTGAAAGACAGTTCTGGTTCTAAGGGACCCACAAGGAAGCTAAGGGGCAATGTGGCATACAATCTTTTGGGCTTTTAATACTTTATCGTGTAATTGCTATACAGGTTCCAAAGCAGGAAAGAAGAAAGGGAGCTAACGTTTATCAAATACCTAATGTATACCAAGTTTCTACATGTATTTTGATCTCAACCCGAGACAAAGGTATTCACTCTCATTCAGGAGTTAAACAACTCACAGGTGCTGTAAATGAGCTCAGAAGTAACATTTTTCCTGATACTGGAGCCCGTACTCTTTACTGTATTACAGAGGGACTAGTGTGGGTAAAATATTGTGAGAGATTTGCTTGGGTGTTTTTTTCCTAAGGTTGAGGGGAATGGATACGAAAGTTGTAGAGGCAGAAACTACCTGACAGAGCGTGTTGGGAGAAGAGTAAAGACAAAGTGTAATATGGACGACTCGTAAAAGATACCACACCAAGTACACTTAATTAGAACACATGTTATTAAAGTAAAAATATTAAGGCAATAAATTTCTATACTTGTATCTAAGTCTGTAATTTTCATATCCTCCACAGGCTACTAAGTATAAGAAACTTGACAAAATCATAAGGGACTAGAGAAGATAAGAGTTGAAGGATACCATGTATAAAGCACCTTTCACACACAGTTTTTTCTTTCCCTACCCATTACTGGTATGGTGTTTATTGTCCCCAAAATCCAACACTTTGGAACCCAAGAACGATTGGAGAGAAACTTAACTCATGTTTCTGCTTAACTCCAGGCTGCAGTTAATGATCTGGGGAAGAACATGGTGCATGAAAATGGAATTCATGTTTTGAAGGACACCAGGAGGAGAATTTTCAAGTCCTTTGACCTATAAGCTAGCTGTTTAAGTAGGCATACAATCATTTTAGGCTTTCTATAAAGCTGCTTTTCTTAGAGATGAAGAAAAAGTTTTCATAGTTAATATAAAAAAGGTTAAGTTATTACTATGATTATTCGTTATCTGAAGTGTTCAGAGTCCTGACAGTCAGTGCAGAAGGAATACACTAGAACCATTTATAGGAGATAACCAAGCCCTTGCTGAGAAACATTACAAAGGTCTCTTTATTAGAAGAATCTCCAAATTTATATATAACAAAGTTCCAGGAGATGTTTGGGTGGAACCAAGGCAACTCAAATTTACATGTACACAGGAGGGAATATGAACAGTTTGGTATTCTTGAGGAATGCCAAAGTGAGAGTTCTTGCTCCAAATATAAAGTTACAGTAAATAAGATGAAATTACTACAAAGAGATAAATAGACGAATAGAAGAAAATGCAGGATGGTGGATGGATGGATGGATGATAGACAGATCGACAGACACACATGCATATAGTCACTTGTTTTTTTTAATAAGATGGCACTGCATTTCAGTGCAGAAAAGATGTGCTTTTCAGTAAATGATCCAGAAACAGCTAGATACCTACATGGAGGAAAAACTGACAGTCCTTCCCTATGAAATCAACCCTGTAAAGACCCAAGTGTTAAAGGTGGAAAGTAGAATGCTTTGAGAAGAGAACACAGAAGAAAACCTTCATAAGATGGAAGAGAATTTCTCAAGAATTAATCATAAAAAAACTTCAGTAGATTGAAATTCAGAATTTCAACAAAAGAACATGTATAACTGATAAAAGAGTAATATACAGAAGATACATCCCAACTGCTATAAATTAGTGGAAAAACAATCCAATTAAAAATTGGCAAAATATCTGAAAAGACACTTCAGAAAAAAAAGGGCATTCTACTCCCCAAGAATTGGTACTCAAGTTCAGAACTAATAAAGGAACTATCAGTTAAGCATGATTCTATTCGTAAATTGTCAAAAATTAAAACATGACAACCCCAACAGTTGGCATGGATATGGAGTGAAAGGAACCCCTATGTACTGATGATATAAATAAAACCTTGCACGATAGTGCTAGAGGAGAGGTTGCCATTGGTGAGTGAAATTAAAGACATACAAACCCTATTCATTAGCATTGTAATCCCTAAATATGTAGACTAAAGAAATGCAAGCACATGTGCTTCACAACATTGAACAAAAAATTTGTAGTCACGTGGCTTGTAATAGCCAAAGATAAAGAGTAGAATGGGGAAGTAAATTATATCATGAAGTATATCTACAATATATATATATATATATATATATATATATGCGAGCAGCAATGGAAAAAGTTAATTAGGGTCTACCTAATAGGAAACAGAAAACACGAAGACTTGTTTAGGGCTTCATATGTAGACACTAAAGCTCTAATGAAAAGCAAATAAATGATCATAGTGGTTATCACTATGTAGGATACTGTTGTGATGGTGTTCAGTGACAACTCTTCTATTTCTTGATCTGGGCACTGCTTACATCGGTCTTTGTAATCACTTGTTAAACTGCAAAATTGGTATTTTATGCAATTTCTGTCTAATTTGGGAGAAAATAAACCATTGAAATACTGATTATGCAACTCTGAAAATATTTTCAAACTTAAAAATTACTTAAATATGTGAAAATAAGTGTGAGCTGTGCTGCATGATAAGTGCTGTATGAATTCAATTTTTAAAAATTATAATTTACATATGAACCTAAAATGTAATGGGAAGGAAATAGAAAAAGCATTGGTTTTAATGAGGAACTTAAGTTTTCTTCATTAGGATTTTTGTACTTTGGAAATTATTTTAAATAATCATGGTTTACTTTTATAATTAGAGGAAAACATTACTTTAAAAATAAAACACAACAGAAAGAAATATGAGAGCTCATTATGGAAAATCACGTGGGTGCAGAAGACAGTCATGGTGGGGGTTCAGAGCCACCATAGTTTCTCAAAGAGGAAACTACTGGAATCAGTTCAACTGATGGGAAATAATTTTTTTAGGAAAAGGAAAGCAAGTCAAGTCTTCACAAATCTGAATAGATTTCAGGAAACAAGAGGTAATGACAAGCTACCTTGCAGGTGCCTTGTGGATGTTCAACTGCCATTCTTTGCTCCTTTCTGGAGACCCCTATTCAAGCAGGGCATATCTGGGCAAGGAAACACCAGGTTCTTCTGGATACCCATTCAACAATTTCAGAGGTCACTCTAGCTCAGACCCTTACCCCATCACATACAGAGACTGGTCAGACAAGTCTATAGGGCATACTTCTTAGTATCAACAGAATCTGTCCCTAGCTGACAGAGGTCTCCTGTGGCTGGAGTTACAAAGGCACAAAGATGCCCAGGCATACAGTGGCTACATGGACAGATAGTCACTCATAACTCACTCATACCAAGGGAACACAAGCATCACAGGCATACCAAACCTAAACACAATTGGTCATACATGCACACATTCCTATACACCGTGGGGTCAGACAGAGTCACAACAACAGGATCCAAAGGTATCTCTTGCATTCCCAGTGCCATACACCTTGGGGACACAGTGACAGCAACAAATTTACAACCACCATAAACCAACAATTTCACAAGCGCATACAAAGGGAAACACCCCCACATCTCAGTTAAGGCATCCTACACCCCACCCTCGAAACACAGTTTAGTACAAGGAATCTTGTACTAAACACAGTACCATACCGTGTCACATGCTTAATGTCCACACAGACACACACAAAATCATAACTCCAAATCCACACTTCTTCCCTCTCACACAGTGCCATACACTGTCACACAGACACAGGACCGCCATAAAAGCACAGCAACAACCATACACTCACTGCTTACAGTCTTCTGGTGTCATCACCCACTCCCTGTGTGCCTCACAAAGGACAGAGTTTCCAAAGACACCTAAACTTCCCATGGAGTTGTTACCAGTTAGCTGACTTGGGTCCTTTTGCTCTGCCTGGATAGGAGTCACAGGTAGGCAAGGAGAAAGTCTCCTGGTACTGGCAGTCCCAGGCTCTTGAGTGCCCAAAGGCAAGGGGTTGGACTGGCAGACCTAGAGGCTTACAGCTTTAACCCTGAGAGCTAGGGGCCTGTGGAAGCTAGACTTACCGGTAGTTCTAGGCACTCAAGTGGATGCGTATTGCTCTGGGCTTTAACCACCCAGGGCCCTGGAATGTGGCAGTAGCAGCAGTAGGCTGGGGTAGACAGCAGTACCAGCAACAGGTACTGCTCTCAGCCCTACAGCGACACGTGCTAGCTGTTGTACAGGGATGTTGGGACTCTCAGCCCTTGTCAGCAGCGAGCGTTGCAGCTCTCAAGCCTAGATGCTGGAGACCTTGCATTTTAGGCTTGGCAGCTGTCTGGGACTGTTCCACTGACCATGGCCCATAGTTTCTCATTCTTAGCTCTTCATTACACTTGTATCCATTAACCTCTGCACCCGGTCATTTCTTCCCTGGTTGCTCTCTGGAATTCTTGAGCTGCACTCTCATCACTACTGCCACTGTTTCTGCTGCCTCTACAGGAGAGACAGCTACTGCCACCTCTGCAACTGACACCAACTTTGCTGTTGCTATACCTCTGCTGCCACTTCTGTCATCCTTGCTTTGTGTTACCAACTCAACCAGCTCTATTACTGATATTTTTTTTTAAAAGACCACATGAAGCAGGGCACCAGTGGCTACACCCATAATCCTAGCTATCAGGAAGCAGAGATCAGGAGAATCACAGTTTGAAGCCAGCTTGGGCAAATAATTCTGGTGACCCTATTAAAAATAAAAGCAAAACCAAAAAACAACAACCCTTCACAACAAAAGGGCTCAAGATATAGGCCCTGAATTCAAACCCTAGTACCACCAAAAAAAAAAAAAAAAACCAAAAAGACCACTTTTTTTTCCTTTTTCTTTTATTATTCATATGTGCATACAAGGCTTGGTTCATTTCTCCCCCCTGCCCCCACCCCCTCCCTTACCACCCAGTCCGCTCCCTCCCTCTCCCCACCCCCCAATACCCTGCAGAAACTATTTTGCCCTTATTTCTAATTTTGTTGTAGAGAGAGTATAAGCAATAATAGGAAGGAACAAGGGGTTTTGCTGGTTGAGATAAGGATAGCTATACAGGGCATTGACTCACATTGATTTCCTGTGCGTGGGTGTTACCTTCTAGGTTAATTCTTTTTGATCTAACCTTTTCTCTAGTACCTGTTCCCCTTTTCCTATTGGCCTCAGTTGCTTTAAGGTATCTGCTTTAGTTTCTCTGCGTTAAGGACAACAAATGCTAGCTAATTTTTTAGGTGTCTTACCTATCCTCACCCCTTCCTTGTGTGCTCTCGCTTTTATCATGTGCTCATAGTCCAATCCCCTTGTTGTGTTTGACCTTGATCTAATGTCCACATATGGGGGAGAACATACGATTTTTGGCAAAAAGACCACTTGAGGGAAGTCTTTTATTAGGCCTAATGTTGCAACGTACGGGGGCGGGGTCTCCAACAGCTTCCTTTTATAGGCAGGAAAGGGGTGTGGGGTGTGGCAAGGGTGTCTGCTCCATCATGGCAGTCTTCCATGCAAATGAAGTGTTAGCATCAGGCACATGCCTTTTGTTGGGCCTTGGTGAAGATAGCTGCAGGGTCATCTAGAATTCACTGAGGCTTGTGATAATAAAAATTCTGATGCAAGTTGTTCAAAACAATTGTGGTTGGGGTCATGCCTCCAGGAACCACAGTTGTGTTATGGCAGCAATCAGCTGTGGTTGCCATGTAGCTTCCTCATGCATCAATGGAGTGAGTGTTCAAAACAGCTGGTGCTGGCTACTTGGCTGATGGTCCTTTCACTCGAGACAGTGGGGTCACCAGGGGGGGGATGTAACAGTTGTCAGGGTTCAAATTACCCAGCCCCAAACATCAGCTTATTTAGGGGAAAAATAAACATTAAAAAGGGTGTTACAATAAGGGCTTATATAGGCTGGAGGCATGGATCCAGTGGAGGAGCTCTTGCCTAGCAAGTGCAAGGCCCTAAGTTTCAGTCCCAGAACCTCAAAAAATATAAAGGCTTATTAACATTAACAGTGACTTAACAGTATTTAATAGTTCTTCACTTGCTCCAGTGCCCCCAGAGAGAGGTGGGTCCCCTTAATCTGTCTCAGAGTCAGCTTTCCTCCTCTAGAGGTTTTGAAAAGAGTCAAATGAGGCTCTCCCAAAGTCTTAAGGCTATTTGCCCAAACTCATGGGACGATCTTACTGACTTTAAAGTCCCTGTAATCCACAGAATATGACTGCACTGATCTGACCATAGAAGGCCACCCCCCAACCCAATGTGTGGGAGGATTTAATGATGCATAACCCAGTTTCCAGGAGTTAATGACTTAATACATGACCACTTCCATGTTTATAAATCCCAATAAAATCTTGAGATCTTGAGACCTTCTGAGCAGTCACTCGTTTCTTCAGCCTGCTCACCCTCCCTGAGGTTACATTTTTGCTTTAACTTTCACTGTGCTCTGCTCTGCATTAATAAGCTTGTTCCTGCTTAAGTGTCCTCTATGCCTGTCCTTAAATTCTTTCTCTGACCAGACCAAGAACCTTTTGGCCCCTGACCTGGTAACTCAGATCCAGTAACACAGCTTTGTTGCTTTTGATTTTAATTTTTCTTACCTTTTCATGTGCCTTGTAATTCGTTGTTGAAAACCACACATCTTGTTTAGGACAGTAGTACACAGAAGGATATCCACCATCCTGAAAAGAGTGGTTCACTAGGCTTCAATAATTTGTGTAAACAAAATGGCTCATATTAAACATCTGCTTTCATTCTGTGAATCTGAAATCTGGTTTGTACCAGGTATCGCCACCTATGTGACCAGCCCCCAAACCTTGAGCATTCTCTAATGAACTTTGCTGTTTGGCAACATCTCACCCGTGTTGTTACAAGCCATTGCTGGGGGAAGGAATGTCCCATGTAACTTCACTGAGAAAGGACCCCAGGGAGTTTGCTTGTTGTTTTCCCTGGGCTTTGCCTCATACACCTTTTCTCTTTGTGGATTTGCTTTAGGACATTTCACTGTGAAGGTCCCAGGGAATCATTAAATCTTGGGGGCACAGAGGTTGTTCTCTTGGTGCTCTTACAGGAGTAGTAACTAAAGAAAATAATTTTGATGTCTATATAGGCATAACTTTCCTTCTGTAAGGCCTTTCATATATATATTACAATTTTTTTTTGCAGTACTGGGGCTTGAATTCAGGGCCTTCACCTTGAGCCACTCCACCAGCCCTATTTATTTATTTTTTTGTGAAGGGTTTTTTGAGATTGGGTCTCACAAACTTACTTGCTCTGGCTGGCTTTGAACTGCAATCCTCCAGATCTCTACCTTCTGAGTAGCTAGGATTACAGGTGTGAGCCACTGATGCTTGGCTCATATGGGTTTTTGAGTTAGTCCATTTAGGGGTTTAAAGAAGACAGAAGATTCATACACTTTGATTGTACTTAAGTTGACTTCAAGAAATAGGTTAAACTGAGAAGTGAATATATTAATACCCTAAGTGTCAGGATAGTAGTCAGCTGGGGACTGGGTACCAGAAATGATTCCATGGTGGAGTCTTTTGTTCAATGTACTATTTATTCGCTGTGGAGTTATACTGAACTTAGACATTTTATGCACTTTTATCCAAGTATTTTCTGTTTCTCAGTAAAAAATTAAGAGAAAAACCCCTTCATTACCCAATGATATAGAAAACATTGAAAAGAAATTACATTTCTTGGAGAAAGTTTAAACATAAATCTAAATGATATACCCCTAGAAAGAAAACATATGAGAAAAGCTGTCAAGTATTTTTACTTCAGCAAAAGAATGGCATGAATAATACAAGACAATACTAGTGTTAACTATGAACATTTAATACATACACACTAAGGGTCTTTGGAAGATGGGAATAAGGCATTTCTGTTTGAGGAGGAGTTTTCATGGAGTCTCAGGTCAGGGACCCCGTTGGGCTGGGCACCAAACCCTCTGTCCCTTTGATACCAAGCCAGATCTGGAGTGTGTGTTGTGGGGCTAGGGGTTATGCCATACAATGTGTACACATAGCCAGGACAAGGCCCAAGCAGAGACAGTAGACTTGCCGCTATGGTGACACCGTTTCACAGGACCATCCAGTTACACCATATATGTCAGGGGCCTGCAGAAAGAGGTCTTAGGACCTTGTCTATTTTGAGGCCGGTTTCTATGGTTTCGCCGGCTCTGGACTACAAATCCCAAGAGCTTTTGGTTCCAGAGCACTTCCGGTCCCGGCATCTTCCATCCAAAGATGGCACTGGCGTAGTGACTTGGTTTTCGTTAACTGGTCACTGGCGTGCCCAGGAAGAGCAGAATGGAGGCTTCAGTTAAAGCAATCTACACACAAACTGGAACTCTTTGACGCTGTCTGCCACAGGTGTGCTCAGTGAGGGGGGTGATGGGCTTTGCAGAGGGAAAGGATGGTATCTAAAGCCGGGACCTGCGAATTGAGACAGTTACGTTCTGGTTTTGTTAAAAGTTGGCCCGCCTCCTGACTACATTTCCCAGAGTGCACCGTGGCGCGGCGACTTCCTGTCCAAAGGCCATTTCCGGACCATAGAGGTAGCTTGCGGAAGTCACAGCGGAAAGCTGAACGTTTTTACTGGACCTCGGTATCGGACGGGTGAGTCTGAGGCCGGGAATCGGAATGGCTGGGAGGGGTGGAGTGGGAGGCGTGCAGCGGCGGTAGCGTGGTGAGTGCCCGCGGTCGTGGGCTGGCGATCACTGTGAGCAGGAGGTGCGAACATCAAACTCCGTGAGGGAGCAGAATATGGGGGTGGGGGAGGATCGTGACGGGCCCCTGGGGTGTTTGTCTTTACACCAACGCGACGGTGAAACTGTGAAGCTGTAATGGATAATTTAAACGTGGCTCTATGTCCGTGCTTATGACTGTGTTACTTACGTGAGCGATCATTGTGTAGATGTGGTAGCAGCCTTGGGTCCAGAAAGAATTGACGTGGTGATTTCCAGAAGTGAGGATGCAGCCGAAGGCCATGGGCTCCGAGTGATGAGTGCAAAAGGCAAAAAGCACAGCCAGGAGGTAAAATATTGGAAAGCACTGGGATTATTTCCAAAGCAGTACTCTGCAAAGAAAGGAAGCGTGGGGATTTTATTCGGGAAGTGGACAGATATTCAAGTTGGAAAGCATTTTGAGTGGGGCACGTTTGTTAGGATGCTCAGTTTAAAGTGTACATTTCTGAGTATGTTCAGTCTATTTCATTTCAAGAAAGCAAGCTAGTGGTCACTTCTCTGCGCATGCTCAGCCCAAGGTCATCGCGCTCATGTTCAAAAAGGTTAAGAGAGTGGACAGACACTCTTCTGGTTCAATATTATAATGATCCATATTTGATACAGGTTTCCTCAAAGAGTAAGAGTAACTGAGGTAACCTTGGCTGGTTGTTTGGAAGTTTCTCCAAAGAATCTTAGCTCAAACGAAATGAAACAATTCAAAAGATGTGTTAATGTAAGAGTTTCCCCCCTGAGCCCCAGAGGTGCCTGCTTCACATAGCACCTAATAAAGATCAAGTTCTCTGTTGGAAGGTAGTGGGGGCAATACAGAATGAAGGTATAGGAATAGCAGTGTAGAGAACTTATTCCCAACGTTTCTGTGTAAATACCAGCAGAGCAGCATCTGGTGAGTGTGTGGGGAGGGGAAGAAGTAACAGCCCATCGTTGTGCCCTTGGGAATGAGCCATGGTGTGTGGGGGGAGTCCATGCAGAGGTAAGTAACCCATGCTCCCCTGTGTGAGTGTACTAAAATTGCAAGAATGCAAACAAGGCTAGTCATGTTGCAGAGTGTGAGAATGAGCAAAGTGCACAAGGTTTCCAAAACCAAGGGGAAATAGCCTGCATTTGGTAGATGGCAACAGTGACAAGTGGTGAGTTATATATGTATTCATGGCATGAAATTCAAAAGCTAGAGGATTTGTGCTGGTGGCATGAAAAACATCTAAAAGTAATAAGAGCAAGTAGGTCATCTGTCCCATTTACACACCCAGTGGTAAAAGGCATTTGAGGAGGGAACACAGGGACATACAAATATTAAGAGGTCTGCAGGCTACTCTGGGTATAGCCAGGTTTCTGTTAGAATCTGGAGGTGAGGGAAATGTTCAAGAAAGAGATTGAGGCTAGAAGACGAGCTGGTTGTTAATTATGTATTCTAGAGGGCATTTTGGAGAAGTGTCAAGAGTTAGGGAAAGATGAGAAAAGTGGACAGATGCACCTGATGGAAAGCACAGTGTCCAAAGTGAGAGGCGAATAGAGAGCCTGGGTATCTTACAATAAACATGATTGCAGGAGATACTGGTTCACGTCAAGACAGTATTGGAGAGGTAGTGTTAGCGTTGGTTTCGTTGAACATTCCTCAGAAAGGGAAGCTGAGGATAGAACCTTAAGGGTGACTGAGGAAGGCAGAACTTTATTTATTTACTTATTTATTATTTATTATGGGGATTAAACTCAGGGAAGCAAGCACTCTACCACTTGAGCTATGTCCCCAGCCAGGGAAGGTGGAATTAAGTCCTGGGAAGAGGTCTTCTTTAATCCCTGGATACTTGTGACTGTGTTAACCTCATGTGCCAAAAGGGACTTTGCAGAAGGGATTAATGATCTAATTGGGCCCAATATAATTGCATGGATCCTTAAAGTCTGGGAACTTTTCCTGGTTGAGTTGAGAGTCAGGGAGATGTGACCACAAAAGAATGGTCCTCGGAGAGATACTACTTTGCTAGGTAGATAGAGGAAGGGGGCTATAAGCCAAGGTGGTTTCTGGAGGTGGAAAACATAAGGAAACAAATTCTCCCTAAGAGCCTCCAGAAAGGAGCACAGCCCTATGGAGGACACCTTGATCTTTTTTTTTTTTTTTTTTTTTTGGCAGTACTGGGGATCAAGTCCATGACCTCTCTTATGTTATGTTCCCAACCCCCCTTGCCCTTTTGAAATTTTGTTTTTGAGACAGGGTTTTGCTAACTTAGCCTGAGCTGACTCAAAATTCTCTTACCTCTGCCTCCCAAGTAACTGGGGTATCAGGTAATTCACCACAGTGCCCACTCTGACACCTTAATTTTTGTCTAGTGACACCCATATCAAACTACTGAATAAATTTGTATTATTTTATTTTTGGTGGTTCTGGAGGCTGAACTCAGGGCCTCATGCTTGCTAAGCAGGTGCTCTACCACTTGAGCCAAGCCCTCAGCCCTTTTTGTTTGGGTTAGTTTTTAGATAAAGTATTGCTTTATGCCCAGGCCAGCCTGGACTGCAGTCCTTCTTTTATGCCCACCTTTTATTGATTGAGATGGGGTCTTGTGAACTTTTTGCCCAGGCTTGCCTGGGCAGGCCTCAAATTGCAGTCCTTTCCATCTCTGCCTCCAAAGTAGCAAGGTTTAGCACCAAGCTAAGTTTGTATTATTTTATTACCACATTCGTAGAAATTTGTTAAAGTAGCAGTTGGAAGCTGTAGTGTCTCAGTGCTGTGGAAGAGTCTTGATCCGGTGACATAAGGGCAGCTTAGCTCCTCTTGGTAATATTGGGGACTTGAAGGTAAAGGACATAGGGAGTATGATTTTGCTACATTGTGATACTTCTTAACTTTAGCTTTTGATGATTTTTTTCTTTGTGATTTAATATGGTTAGTCTGCACTTGATTTGATTTAGATTGTGGGATGAGTATTGAAATCCTCTATTAAAGAAATTTTATGTCTTGTATAACTTACAATTTCTGCTTTATGAAAGTTGTAGCTTTTGTTTTGTAATTTTGTCTTTTTTTTCTGATGTGAGGAATTGAACTTAGAATTGTACCATTTATTGCATGCCAGCCTGAAAGCTGCAGTTTTGTTAGCTGATGTATAGATATTTGTAATTGGCATGTGTTTACAATGAATTGTAGACTATAGTATTTAGCATGCTTAATAAATATCATGGCCCCTGTTATTTTTGTGGTTTTTTTTGCCTTGTATGTATTTCTCCCTAATTAAATGTTATATTGAAGTTTATCATTTATCTACAGACAAATGTGTACATAATACAATGAATGTTTAATCAGAATTGTACATCTCACATGATTTCCCATAGGGGAAACACTGATAGAAGTATACAGATCTAAAGATAAAACATTCCCTATATCCTAGAAGTCCCTCATGAGCTTCTGTGCAATTAGTAGCTCCTCCAAAGTAACCAAAGAGTGTCCATTTTGTCTGACTTTATCTAAATGGGATCACTGTCATGTCTGTGAGAGTTGTCCATACTGTGTATAGAAACAGTTCTTTCATTTACATTGCTTGGTTGTATTCCAGTTCATAAATGTAGCTGCCATATTTATAGGTGTATATTTACTGTATCATAGATGGAAAAGAGAATGTCCTCTAGTAGTTTTTTCAGAAAGGGTTTAAAGTGAATTCATAATTTCTTGCATCGTAGCTGTCTTCATTTTAATTTTTTGTTTGCTTGAGACAAGGTGTCGCTATGTCGCTATGTCGCTATGTAGCTATGGCTATGGCTGTGCCTCAGCCTCCTGCCCGCTGGGATCAGAAGTGGGAGCTATTATGCTTAGCAGATCATTGCACTGACTCCTTTATAATTCAGTGACAGCTTAGCTGAGAATAAAGTGTTTGACTCTCATTTATTTTTCCACATACACTAGGTTTATGCACAAATATATTAGGACACTGAATTCAGTAGTAGAAAAATCTAATAACTGAATTCCTTCTTATTACAGGTAACTTTTTTTTTCTTGACTCCTTATGAGTCTTAGTCTACAAATTTTATTATGTAATTTTTTGCAACCGAGTTTGTTTGGTTTTTTTGAGGAATTAGATTTTGAACTCAGGGCTTTGCACTTGCAAAGCAGATGCTCTACTGCTTGAGCCTCACTTCCAAATTGGGTAATTGGTTTTTGGTGATACTGGGGTTTGAACTCAGGGCCTCACACTTCCTAGGCAGACACTCCACCATTTTAGCTACTCTGCCAGTCCTTTTTTTTGTTTTGGGTATTTTCAAGATAGGGTCTGTTTGCCAGGGCTGTGTTTAAACTGTGATCCTCCTGATTTCTGCCTTCCAAGTAGCTTGGATTACAGGGGTGAGCTACTGGCGTATGGTGAATTGGGTCATTTTTTGCTACTGATGATTTAGGTCCTTTTACCTTACACCCTGGCTTTCTTTTCATTATATTTATTTATACAACTGGGCCTTATGTGTGCCTGTCATCCCAATACTTGGGAGGGTGAGATGGGAAGGACCCTTGAGTCCAGGAGTTTGAGACCAGCTTCAGTAATAGATAAAAAAATTTAAAAGTTAAAAAAAAATTATGCTTCATTTCAGGAAAGTATTCTTAGTTACTGAATGTACTTTCATATATATATGCACATATATATATATATATATACACATATATATATATATACATATATACACATATATATATATATACATATATATATTCGAATATATATGTATATTTGAATTTTTCACTATTTCTCAAAAAATATATATGTAAGATGCTCAGTGATCACATTGCTCAGTCAGTATTTCATTGATATCATCCTGCAGTGAGCATGAATGGTCAGGACCATTTTCTCATTTTCTGTAAGACTTAATACTGAGTGAAGAGGCTGCAGGGATGATGTGAGAAAGCAGAAGGAAGAGTGTGCTGGGGCTTGCTGCATCTTTAATTAATTTAAACATTATATTTTTAAAATGTAAAATGAGTTCTTATTCTAAGTTGAGGCTTAAACCCCAAACTGATTATTTATTTATTTGTTTGTTTGTTTATTTATTTATTTATTTTTAGGGCTTTTGCCAGATCTTGGAGGTTAATGGGAACTGATAGTTCTGCTGAGCCAAAGACTATGTGTAGCTCTGTTTGTTCTTTGTTAAAGACTACTGTGACTGAATATATCACTCACTTCTCTGAATGCCTGGTGAATCTGGTCAGGGTTATTTGGGCCCCAAAATTGCCTTTATGACTCTCAGATTGGAGACTTCCATTGCCCATGAGGTACCTAATAGGGTCTATCTAACTGGGTCTGCATAGTTGTATGGGACATGCAAGTTAACTCTGAATGGCCTTATCTCTTATCCTGGTCCATGTCGTGATTTGGGCATAACCATTGAATCGAAACTCCAACCTGCTTTAATTGAGTCTTCTGATTTTGGATAGAGCCACAGTTTCTTCAGAGTCTCACTGACATTCCTCTAACAAGGAAAAATGGCCTTCTCATTTGTGTATTTGAAAGCTCTGAGGAAAGCTTAACTTCTTATGACTCGCTCCTTCTTGCTGTGCTTTCTCAGGACTCTGCTGCATGAAGAGAGGAATTCAGAAGAGCACTGGTTGACCCTTGGAATTTTAAATCATGGCCCATGTGAGTTGGAATTGTCTCCAAAAACATAATCATTTATATCACATCATATGAATGGTTTTATTGCTTGTCTTTGAACTACATACTGAGTCACTTCAGGGTGGTAAGTGTTGGTTGGGAAAGTCTAGTACCTTCCCTAGATGTTCCTTCTGTTTCTAACCAATATTTCCAAATCTATCCCACAGGGTATCCTGTATCTCCTGTGCTCTAATCTTCTGACAGAGCACCAAAGGAGGACAAATACATTTCTGTAGGGGGAATAGTAAACACTGTCATTCAATACCGTGCCTTAACAAGGTGGAACTAAATGATTAAAGTGGACACAGAACATAAAAGTTTCTATTTACTCTGTAGAATGGGGTGTTTCAGTTAGTCAAGATGGTGGGAGTTGTCCTTGGTTCATATTCATTTCAGTGTGTGGCACCTTGTGATGGTTTCAGCTAAAGATTATAATGGGACATTGACAGCAAGACATGTATGCCATTAACAGAACATTTGCTGATTGACCACTGCTAATTAGCAAATAGCAAAGAGTTTTGAGATCCAGATCATTCTCCATGGAAAACAGTATAAAGTTAGTTGTGTATAACTAAGGAGTTCTTTCATTTTAACTGAAGTTGGATTATTTTTTACAAAGCATTAAAAAATTGAACAGCACGAAAGATCTATAACATTTCTCATGTAATGTACCTGATTTAGTGATTCCAGATTGGTATAGCCTCTCCATGATGTCCAGTAACAACTCCACTGGTGTCTGTTATTCTGGGCAGCCATCTTAGTCTTGGTGTTACGTGAAGGTTATAAGGATGTTATGACTGAGCAGTGGGAGTTTTTAACAGCCCATAGGCACTCAGCTTTAGTCACAAAGACAAAAAACCCTGTAGAGTTTTGCGCATTGTATGTCCCATTCTCGGTTGTTCCGATTTCCATCTTCCCCCACCCCATGTAAAAGGTTTCTTAAAACCTCACCATTAAGATTTGTGTTTGTCCTTTTAACAGTTGATGACATTCAGGGATGTGGCTGTAGAATTGTCTCAGGAGGAATGGGAGCACCTGAATCCGGAACAGAGGAATTTGTACAGAGACGTGATGTCAGAGAACTATAGCCACCTCATCTCAGTGGGTAAGATTTAGAATCCCTAAAATTTCTGCATCATATCATCAATTATTGTGTTTTTCTTAAATGTCTAGAAGTATTTCTGACCTTTGCTTCTGGACAAATGGTTTGTGTTTTGTAAAGATACAGTAGTCATCATCATTGGGGACCTCCATATTTCTCATCCTTCAGAAACCCTATATGCTGTTTTCTTTCCCTTCCTTGATTGTTTCTGTTCTGTTAATAACAAAGGGACCAGATGCAAATTTTAGAATCCTTACCCATGTGGTCATTTCCTATTTTTAATCTTCTTGGCAGGATTTTGCATTTTTCAACCACATGTGTTCTCCTTTTTGGAAAAAGGTCCAGACCCCTGGATGATTTTGAATGATGAGAAAAGAGGACTTTGCCCAGGTGAGTGAGCAGGAGCAGGCATGGGGGTAGCTGTCACTACAGGTCATAGCCCAGTTGCTTAGTGAGGCAGCAGTACCTCTGAAATACCAGTCTGGAATATCCTCTCACTGGCGAAAGCCCTTGATAAAGGCCTGAGATGTAGAGACAAAGACTTTCAAAAAGGAATTTAACTCAGAGACCATTCCATTTCTCTGCTTTTGCTTGTTTCTCATGCTACAAAAGGTGGCATTCTTATTTCAAAAAGGTAAGTGGCATTCTTTTTCTCCTTTTTTATCATTGTTTGCTGCATCATGAGTATCAATACCTCCTCTTTTTTTTTGTCTTGTAGAGTATTTATTGCAGAATTATTTTTATATAGACTAACATGTGCTGTGGGACAATTATACTACACTGAGTGAAACAATCAAAGGTCTTTGTTACTGTGTTATTGAGGTGGTACCTGGACAGTCATTTTTTATTAAACTCATCATACAAATATTTTTGAAATTTCATATCTCTCATCTTTTGACTCACTACTAGCTCTCTGAACTTTCTGTTTATTTCTTGCTCTTTTTTCATATTGCACAGAATTTGGGAATTTTTTTTTTTTTTTTTTTTTTGGAAGTACTGGGATATATACTTAGGACCTCACACTTATTAGGCAGGCACTATATAATGGAAGCAATGCCTCCTGTCCTTTGGGTTTAGTTATTTTTTTCACGTAGGGTCTTGTGTTTTTGACCAGGGCCTCAGACTGTAGTCCTCATACGTATGGTCACCCATGTAGCTGGGATCACAGGCAAGTACCACCATGGCAGGTTTATTGAGATGGTGGTCTCACTAGATGTTTTGCCTGGGCTGTCCATGAACCATGATCCTTCTGACCTCCACCTCTGAGTAGCTGGAATTACAGGCATGAGCTACCATGCCCAGCTCAGAATTTGGGTATTTTTAAGCCATTTACTTCTTGTGTGCTTTACTTTAGGATTTACTTTCTACATCTACATTGGAATTTTATTTCTTGTGGACAGTAAAGCAGTATGTTTTTACCTTCTTATCTTTCAGACATCCAGTCCATGTGGCAGTCCAAGAGGTTATTACAAAAAGATAGCACTTCTGAATCAGAGTTATGCCCATCAGACATACAGGAAATTTGTAGAAACCGCAATCTTGGTGGCTTATGTTTTGGAGGTGATTGGGAAGGCAAAGATCAGTTTCACACACAACATGAAAATCAGGAGGAATATTTCAAGCAAGTGATAGTCACCTATGGAAAAGTGTCTCCTTCAAACCAGGACTCAGCTTTTAATCGATACCAGAGACTCAATACAAGAGAGAAACTCCATGAATTTATACATGAAAAAGCCTTTCGTTCTGGCTCAGACCATTTCCAACATCAGTTAATTCACACTGGTGAGAAATTCTGTAACAAAAAGAAATGTAGTTACAGCTTTTCTCCTGATTCAGGGCTTACTCAGTATCAGGCATTTAACACTGGTAAGAAAACATATGAAAATAAAGAATGTGGCTTGGCATTTAGTTTTTCAAGTATTCCTGGTCTTAAGAGAATTCATACTGAGGAGAAACATTTTAAATGTAAGGAGTGTGGGAAAGCCTTTAGTTTGGACTCAGACCTTACTCAACATCAGCGATTTCATACTGGTGAAAAGCCCTATGAATGTAAGGAATGTGGGAAGGCCTATAGTCGTAAAGCAGACCTTATTGGACATCAGAGAATTCATACTGGTGAAAAACCTTACCAATGTAAGGAGTGTGGGAAAGCATTTACCCGTGGCTCATACCTAACTGAACATCAGAGAATTCATACTGGTGAAAAGCCCTATGAATGTAATGAATGTAGTAAAGCCTTTGTTCAGCGAGCACATCTCACTAATCATCAGAGAATTCACACTGGTGAAAAACCTTATGAATGTAAAGAGTGTGGGAAGGCTTTTACTCGTGGCTCACATCTAACTGAACACCAGAAAATTCATAATGGTGAGAAATCCTGTGAATGCAAGGAATGTGGAAAAGCCTGTATTCATGGTGCAAATCTCACTGAACATCAGAGTGCTCATGTTGGTAAGAAACCCTATGAGTGTGAGAAGTGTGGGAAGGCCTATATCTGGAGTTCAAACCTTGCTCGACATCAGCGGATCCATACTGGCAGGAAGCCTTATGAGTGTAAGCATTGTGGGAAATCTTTTATTTGGGCTTCATATCTTGCTCAACATGAGAAAGTTCATGAGAAGAAACTCTATGAGTGTAAGGAATGTGGGAAGACTTTTCTCCACGGCTCAGACTTTAATCAACATCAGAAAATTCATAGTAGTGAGAGAAAGTATGAATGCAAGGAATGTGGAAAAACCTATTTTCATGGTTCAGATCTTAGTCAACTGCAGAAAATGCATCCTGGAAAGAGACCATATGAATGTGAAGATTGTGGAAAAGCCTTTCTCTGGAGTTCACAACTTACTCGACATTAGAGAATGCATGCTGATGAGGAACTTTTTTGTAAAGAATGTGAGAAATCCTTTTTCTGGGACTCATGGCTTACATGACATAGAAAACTTCATGCCGATACAGAACCCTATGAATGTTAGTACTGGCCAGATCTTTAGCACTATTCACATTTCACTGAACATTTCCTGAAAATTCCTATTTACTTCCATAAGCAAATTTTCTGTGAATGGACAAGATATGGGAACACTTTTTGTTATGACTTAAAACTTTATTTAACACCAGAATATTTATACTGTTTTATTTTGGCAGTGTTGTGGATGGAACCCAGGGCCTTGCATGTGGTAGGCAATACCTCTGAGCTGTATCCCCAGCCCTCAGAGTATTCATGCTTTTGAGAAATTCTATGAATATAAAGATTTTGTTACATTCCTCCAAGGTGTCACTTAATTTCACTGTTGTGAAATTTTACGATATAAAAATGCAGGAAAGGCTTTACCTGATGTTATTCTTTCTTTTGAGCAATCTCAGAAGTGTAACGTTGGAAGGCCTTTTGACAGGGTATAGAGTACATCCACATCATCACCAGAACTCATACTACAGTGTTTATTTAAGGATAGAGTTTACTATTTTGTCATCAGTTATGGGAAATCAGGATGCATTATTATGATAAGAAAAAAATTGTATATAGCTGTATTTTTAGAGAGTATTTAAAAATTGTAAATATGTAAATGATAATATGCTTTTTATATGTGGATGGCTTATTTTCTATGAAAACATAATGCACTTTTTAAATATAACTCAAAAAGGCAAAACAAGAAAAAAATTTATAAGTACCAAAAGTCCTGTGATACAACCTACACCTTGATGGAAAAGAAAATCCTATGGAAAAATTTCCAGCTCATGCTGACACTTCTTATAATAAAATTAGATGACAGTGGCCCTTGAGCAAGAAATTTCAGAGTATGTTCACTCATGCGTGAAAAAATACAGGAATCTAGTATTTAGTGAAAGAATAACATAAGTACTTACTTGAAATGTTTAACCTTTTATAGGATGAATGAGAATTTTTTTTTTTTAAGCAGTACTTGGGTTCAAATTCATGGTTTCACGTTTGCTAGGCAGGTGCTTTACCACTTGAGCTAAGCACCTAGGCCTTTTTTGCTTTAGTTATTTTTCAGGCAAAGTCTCATGTTTTTGCCTGGTTACTCAGTCCTACGTATGGCCTCCTGCTGGAATCATAGGTGCGCACCTGGCTTGTTTGTCTTGCTAGCCTTTTGCCGAGAGTGGTAGCTTTGAACCATTATTCTCCCAATCTCTGCCTCCTGAGTAGCTGGGATTACAGGTGTGAGCCACTGTGCCTCACCAGTCAAAGAGAATTTTGATTGATGGAAATAAACTTTTAGTTGAATATTTAACCAATTTAATGTAAAGGCCATTTTTATACCTTTTAGTGTTATAGGAGTTAAGAAGTGGTGAGTGTGTGCCATATTTAGCAGGTACTTCATTCTCAAGTTATTGTCAGTCATCTATGAAATTTTACAACTTGGAAAATAATTCATTGTTATATTATAATAAACAGACCATTTTCATGCTGACTAGATTTCTTATTTTAAATTTTTTGTTCCTGTTTATTAGTCATATAAATTATTGTGATACTTCCACACATGCATACAATATATGTTGGCCAAATTCACCCCCTCTAACACTCTCCCTCATCCCCCTAGATTTCTTTTTTAAGATGGTAAGTATGCTTAGAAAAATAGCATTTAGAGGTTATGTGACGAATCTCTTGTCTCCATTTCTGGATCCAGACATCCATTTACAGATAAATGTAGTTCTTTTATCCTTTCATCCAGACTTCCTTTTGAAGTTTGATGACGGTGGCCAGAGCTGGTGTTTCCATCTCCTTGTGGGAGAATTTCTGATTCTTGAATGCATGAGGTTCATGCTTCTCCAGCCCGTCCTCCACTTATTTATATTTCAGTGTTGATAATGCCTTCGCTAATATATGTTATAGATAGTAAAACAGCTCTTAACCTTTTCCCTAAACTACCGTTCTTTGCAGAAGCCATTCTACTGGAACCATTTTGAAAAGAAGATACATATTTGATAAAGAGTATTGATACATTTGAATAACGTTTTGAAAAAAAAAGATAAAATTACATATAGTCCTAGGATTGTAAAGCAGGATAAATCCAAATGTAAAACCAAAAAACAACAAAAATGAAATTTCACAGGTACTACAAGAAAACATGGGTGAAATCTTTTATAACCTTGGAATGGGGACACCAATAACTGACTCATAAGGCCCATAGAAATAATGAGGAAGAAACCAAATTTTACAGGACTAAATATACAAAATTAGAAATCGAAGATATTTACAACTTACCTGGCATGCTAATATCCTTAGTACCTGTCTACAAATTGAGGTGTGAAACGTGTAGCCTGATAAAGAAGTTGCACAATACAAAAATAGATATTTCAGAGGAAGTGATGTCACTTCTGTTAAACTTATAAAAAGATGTTCCGCCTTCCTCATAAGAAATCCCAGTTATGTTACACTGAGCTGCTACTTCATACCAATTAGATTGGTAAAAATTATTAATACACTGTATTGGCAAGGCTACAGAAACTGGACTCTCACATTTCTGATGAGATGGGGAATACTGCAACTCATACAACAGGGAATTAAACATGGTCCGTGTGTAATCTCATGCACTTGGCCCTAGCTTAATGATACTCTGGTCAAATAAATTTCTGGTATGTACAAAAGAGTTTATTTAAATTGTAGCAGACTTGAAGTGACTTAAATGTCACTTTAACTTGCTGAGTTAACTATCAGGTATATGTGCAAGGAACACCACTCAACTGTGTACTTCCGTGAAGTGTTTTTCAGGTCACTGCACCTAGATGTGAAAGCTAGGAGAACAATTTACATGCTAATTTTTGTGAGAGAAAGGAAAAATTCCGTATATGCCTATGTATTAAGAAAATAATGGAAGGATGAGTCAAAGAAGTAAGGCAAAAAGAAGTAGTGAGAGAACCCAAAGATGGAAAGTAGTCATGTTTGAGTATGCATTGTATTTTTTTACTTGATCCTTGTAGATATTTTACATGCTGGCATTTTTAAAAATTAAGCCAAAAATAGAAAAAAAATAGCAACCCTAAATATCAAAGTCAGTGAATTCGATTCTGCCAATAGTTGATGGCACACCAAGATGAAGATTAGTAATTTCGAGTGATGTTAAATATTTGACTATTAATATTTGAACAGCTATTATATGAAAAACAAGTACAAAGAAACTTTACTAGTCTTTTGTAATGGTAATATTGGTATTATTTTAGGTGGATAGAAAACAAAATATATAACACTTAGGAGAATTTGATTTCTTAAGTAATAACATACAAATTAAGTAAAATGCCCTTAGTCTTTCCATTGAATTCAAAATATCTTATTTCCTAGCTTTGTCCTGTGAAATGGCTTGAAGCACTGGAGCTGTAGAGGCCACTAATGTTTGTTTCAACAAAAAGAAGCAAGGGGTCCTTGGCAATAGAGCATATGACAGGTCCAGGGTTATAAATATGTGTATAATTATCCAGAAACATCTTACTGCATCTAAAAGGAGGAACACTGTGAAAGACTATAGGATCACATAAACTTGAAGGGAGTGATGAAAAATAATTGGAGTATTACACAATACCCATTGAACTGAAACAATTAATATATAAAATTTCCTAAACTCAAAATGAAAAAAAATTCTGACAAATCTTTGTTGAAGTTTCCTGAGCATTCATTCATCCCAAAAGTTTTGATGATAGGGGAAAAAGCATGCTTTTCCTGTATAGTCTGCAATCAAATTATTTTTAAAAATCAGCTAATATGTTCAGGAAGAATGGTGGACTTAGAAAACATATTTGGCATTCCATAATGGAATTGGCAACTGTCCATAGTAAATGGCTGATAGGAAACTTCAAAAGAAGTGATCATCTGACAACATGTGAATGTGGTGGCTGATCTTAGCAACACTAAATTGGAAATATCTGGCATTAATGTGATGTCATGGGATGTGCAAAATATAACTTAAGATAGAGTATTTCCCAAAATGTGGAACCATAATTGATCTAGCCTATAAACCTTAACTCCAAGTTCATAGGGCATTAAACAGAAAAATCTTTAAGCGATGTGGTGAAGATAGACTTGACCAAATAAGAATGAAGAATGTGGAAAATTCCTTAGGACAAATAATCAAGTTTTTCAATAAACATGGCAGGGTGGGGAAGGGAGAAGAGAACTGCTGTAGTTCAAAAGAGATGTTAGAAGCCTCAACCGAATGCAAAGTGCAGAATGTTCTAGGTTCCACGTTTGAACAACTAGATGGATGTTTTGCATTAGGTGCTAAGCAATTTGTTTTGATGTGATAAATTAGTTATGTTTAAAATGAAAATTTTTGTCAGATGGATATTTAAAGTATTTGTGAATGAATAATATTTAGCTTTAGACAACTCAAAAAATTAGGGAATGTAGGAAAGTTGAAAAAGAATAGGAAAGTGCTGTGAATTGTTCACACTGTTTTCCCTATGTTAGTACACATTTTAAACTGGCTAAAAAAAGTTTAAAATATTTTAAATAGTCAACCTCTTCCAAAAAGGTAAATGAAAAGTTCTATTAGTTATTGATGATCCTGTTTCCTCTTGTCTAGTGACATTCCCACTCTTGTTTCTTTGAAAGTACCATGTAAACATTGGCATTAATTGCCATAAAATCTTACAAAGGGCCAGAGTATGGCTCAAATGGTAAAGCCCCCACATACCAAGTACAAGACCCTGAGTTCAAACTTCAGTACTGCCAAAAATTGTATAAATGTGATTAAGAAAGAGGGAGATAGAGGACATTTTTATTTTAAGTATGAACCAGAGACAGAATATATAGGTCTAATGTAGTTCTTTTTGCAAATCATGAGACTAATTGGCATTTAATACCTCCTTCAGATATTAGGTTCCCTTACAAACAGCATTGTAGATTGTATTCCCTCCTCTTTTTTTTGTTCAACATTTCAATATGAATATTTAAGCACAGAGTGGCTAGAAGAATGTTACGGTGTGCACATAAGCCCACTATTTAGGCTCTTCCATTAACATTTTACTATGATTTCAGCTGGAAGTTCTACCACTTGGGTTTGTGCAAATCTTTATTCCTCAAGACTTAAGATATTGATCCTGCCACTTAGGGTTGATATAGGAATCCATTAATATTTACTGGTAGACATAGAAATACTACAGGCATTCCAGAGGATTCCTCTATGTTCCAAGTATACCTTTTCCTGCCTCCTTTTGGTAATCAGAATGACATTCTGTAGATGTCTCTCTGGCATCTTTCCTTGGCCTGTTTTTCAGCAGCTTT